CGCGGCAGTGCGGGAGGGCCCGAGCCTGCAGCGGACTCTGCTACTGCCCACAGGCCGCCCTCGGAGAGTCGCAGAGTGGCTAAGTCTCAGCTACAGGTTTTCCAGCCTGACAGGTAGGGAGCAGGGCCATCTGGCACCCAGAACAGACGAGTGTCTGGGCCAGGGCTCGGAGGGGCCACTCCCACTCGTGAGACCAGGCTCCAGGGATGTCCCTTCAGCTCCCAGCACCCAGAGCCTGCCTGTAGATGGACTCGCACCACCCTGCTGTGGCCGTTGTGTCATCAGACGCCCTGCGTGGGAGTGCCAACACCAACCGCGCCGCGTGAGCTCAGGAGCCAGTGCGTGTCACGCAGCCCTCTGGGGTTACAGGGAGGGCGCCCGCTGGCCGTCCTGCAGTGGCCTCTTTAACCACAGCAGTGCTCTTCCGTGGCACCAGGAAGTGTGGATCTTGGCGGAATCACCTCGTAGCCCTGCCGGCTGTGCGGAGCATCCCAGAGCCCTGACTGACCTTGGGGTCAGGTGCCATTGTCGGGACTCGTCGTGAGTGGGAAAGCCTCCCTGCACCTGCTGGGGTTGCAGCCCCCACGGGCTCCCAGGCAAGACTCCACCTGCCGCGGGGTGTGGCAAGCTCCTCCCTGCCCCCCGGGTGACCTGGGCCCCTTCCCTCATCTTCCCTGACTGTCTAACATCTGCCCCGGGGTGCCCAAGGAGGCAGTGACCTGGAACCAGGAGAGGGCATGCCCTGGAGAGGCTAGAGGGCGCTGTGCACTTGGGGAGGCGCAGGGAGAGGCCCTGCCATCCTTGTCATCCCAGAGAGACTGCCAAGGGCCTATGTACCTTCGATCCCGGGACGAAGATGGTTTCTCAGATCTGAGCGGCTCCATGGTCAGGAGAGCTCGGTGAGCGGAACTGGCATTTGCTGTCTTGGCAAAAGGTCTTCCAGGAACTCCCAGCAAGGCGACCTGTTCCAGAAGCAGATGCTGGGACACTCTGCTGTCCCTTGGCTGCCAAAAACGGGAGCGAAGCAATGAGATGGTGACCCCTCTGCCGTTGCACGTCCCGGCTTTCATGAGCCAGCTGGGCACCTGTTTCAGAGGCTCTGGGCAATGCCCGGAGCCCAGAGAGGGCAGGACAGCTGGGAGGCCTTCACCCGAGCCCTGTGAGGCCCGGTGTGGGGACCTAGCTGCCATATGGGCTGGTGCAGCAGCCACATTGCACAGCTCCATGCCCGAGGAGCAGGAAGGAGCAGCTGCGGCCCGAGGCGTGCTCGTTCTGCTGGTGTCGTGCATCCTCCCTGGGCGAGACACGAGGGCTGCGACAGTGAGCAGTCCCTGCCCCAGGAGCCCACACTGGCCAGGGGGCCAGGGAGCCAGCAGAGTGCAGAGAGTGGGTGCAGAGGTGTCCAGGTCTCGGGGCAGGTTGGAGGGCGCTGGGGGCAGGAGTGGCAGCCATTTCTCGAAGTTCAGGCAGATGGTCTCGAGTGCTGGAAAAGGAGGTCCAGAACATTGCGGGCAGTGAGTAGCCTAGAGCAGCACGGAGCTGAACCGAGAGCTGAGCCCAGCGGCCTCCTCAGGGTGGAGGCGTGAGTGTGCAGGGGCGTCAGTGCTGGCCCGATGCTGGCCTGAGTGCCAGCGGGCCTGGGGCTGCGGCCGTGACCAGGTTGGCGCTTTAGCAGTGGCGCTGCTGCGGCTCTGAGAGCGGAGAGGGGGCAGACACGGCTTCTATGTCTGTGCCCAGCATGCGTGCAGCCCGGATAGGCACTCCCGACCTGAGTAGCTTACAGCCAGGCAGCGGGGCCATGTGAAGACAGCTAGACTGTATGGGGCGGCAGGGCCAGGCTGGGGCAGATGGCCTGCAGGGTGGGTGTGAGCACAGTGAGCAGGTCTGAGCACGCCACCGTCAGATGGGCCGGGGGCGGGCCAAAGCTCTGCTCTAAGTCAGACGGGCCGGGGTCGGGGCTGAAGCTCTGCTCCCCACGCCGCGGATGCTCCTGAGCCGTGAGTCGAGGGCAGTGTTTAGAGCTGCCTCCCAGAGCAGGGCACCTGGTGCTAACTGCTAACGAGTGGGAGCACACAACCGCCTCGCAGGGCGGGAGGACCGTCAGCTGACGGCTGGTGGGAGCACCTGGCTCCTGAGCAGGGGGTGGGGTGTGGAGTGAGACTCAGGAATTGCCTAACCAGCTCCCAGGCTTTGAACTGGCAGCTCCTTCTTCGGCTGCAGCGAACTCTCGTGTTGCTGGGAGCATCCCAGTGGCCATGTCACCCAACTCAAGCACTTGGAAAATGGGGGAATCTTCTTTCCAGGAAAGACCCATACAGCAATTTCAGCACAGTGGTGGGGGCCAGGACGTC